AAAAGCAGCCCTTCAAAATCCAGAAGGCAAACATTTCCATTTCTGTAGATTCATAATATCAGCACTATTGTGTAGTAGCCAGGGCTTTGACATTCATTATGGCCAGGTGCCATCTGGGGGAACATAATCCAGGCCCCCCCTTAACCCTCAGATCTATCTGGAGCAAAGATGTGTAAAACACAAAAACCCTGTAAATAAGAAAAGGTGGACCAGAATCAATTAAGTCAAGTTAGATGTTTATTGCCTGTAGTTGCCTTAACATTCCAAAGCCATGAAGTGGCTATAAACCATCGCATCTCCCCAATTAGCATCATCGCCTTGTTTCCCTCGGATATCCAGAGATCTTCAAATGTGGACATTCAATCGTTGCAGATCCTATTAAAATAAAGAAGTCTGCCTTTAACACATTCAATCACCAAATGGGCCAATCAACTTAAGAGGCTAGGGTAAGAATAGGCAACTCTAGTCCTCTGGAACTGGGTTCCTGTAGGTCTTACAGGTGTTTCTTACTTCAAAACCGATTAAGATCTAAAAGCGTCAGGTGCTATGGCTAGTATGAATTAAAATCAGGTTGAAGGTCATCAAACAAGCTGCCAGTTTATGTGCCAGAGGAACAGAGGGGAGTCCTTTAAGTCATTCTTATATACTGCACACCAGCAGTCTAAGACTACTGAGGTTTATCTCGATTTGCAACAGTACATGTTAAGCAAGTTCCCATACCTTTGACACCAGATACAATATGCCAGCAACCTGCAAAAGAAAAAGCCACATTGAAAAGCCACATCGATCAAGCAAAAAGTAATCCAAGCAGCACCTGTGGTCAAATTTCAGCAGTCAGATCCGAAAAGAATTATCAATCAGTTCTAGGTCAGGTTCGGGATAGATTCATCATTAATGAGACCACAAATAAACCAAAGCACAAGATTAAAATTAAAAAAAAATGTACATACCCATTTTGCAGAATCCTACTGTTTTCCCCAACAGTTTACTGTGGGTAAAATAAAAAAAAGAAGAAAACATGTAGCTGAAATATGTAAGGGATACATTGCTACAGTTAGGTTAAAAAAACTGTTTTAAAAAAAAAAGAGCACAAAAAGAAGGGAGATCGGACAATGGCTTTATACTAGTTATATGAACTGACAGAACACCGGCATTTTGCCACCGTTTGTTCCCACTACCTTTCCATGCTTTATTAAAAGGTCAGACCACAAAGCTACAATCAAATAAAAAGGTCTCCAAAAGTGAACTACCCTAAAATTGTGGTACAAATGTTCCGACCCACAGGGTGAAAATGATTTATCCCACTGTGCAAATCTCAAATCTTTCCAAGCAAGGTCTTAAATTCCTAACATCATACATGATTACACTGTCTAGAATGGGAAAGCAAAAGACCATAAAAAATAGTCATACACAATTTCCCCCGTACTTCAAATGGCAAAAAAAAAAAGTGGTTGCGATTCAGAAGTCAGATCCATATAAGACTGTCAATCAGATATGAAGTCAGGTTCGGGATAGAGTCATCATTAAAGCAACCGTTGAATGCAACAAGATCTAGAAACTCGGTCAATACCTCCTGTAATTCTTCACGGTTCACTCACTGCACTGGACAGGAATCAAAGCTGTGCACTGCAAAAAAAAAAGCTAATTTTAAAGCCCATCTTATCAACTGCTCTTTGTACCTGTACTTATGATCCTTTATCAGCTCAGTCAAATGAGAGCCTTCTCATACAGCAACCTGAGCGAAGTACCTCACTCCAGGGTACAACAGCAGTATCCCACATAAAATTTCAACCCAGCGACTCACAGCTCAGCCCCCCCACCCCCATTAGTCTGTTCAACCCTCACCAAATCTTACCTTCAAACAGCATTTCAGCACCTCATGTCCAGTCCATTTTTACTGCAAAGAGACAAAAAACGTTACTCCCATTTCCAAGATCACTTACTCACTACGCATAGAAACTAAATGCCACATGAAATTGACCAAATATTCAGTCTATTCAGCAGCAGGCCCATGTAAAAGTCTGGACAGAGACTAGGTGCAGACCTTTGGTAATTCTTTTTAAATCCTCTCCAGTCCCTTAAGAGATTTCAGATTTTCACTTTCCCCTTCATTTGGACACTCTTGCTTAATCTGTGCCGAACCACCGCACCTCTTTCGCTCTCCTGTGCTTCATAACATCTTACACTCTGCCCGGCACCCGAAGAGAGAGGTTCCAACAGCTGAACACGTCTTTCCGTCGATACCGGAAATGTGGTTTTAAGGTTTAAAAACAGATCACCCCTGCAGTTACACTGCACTTGTACACGGGAACTGCGGTCTGAGCCAAGAACACACCACCCAAGACTTGATCCGGCACGACTAGCTTATAATCTTTTGTGCACACGTGCAAAATGAAAGAGTTTTAAGCATAGCGGCGTGCCAATATACATACCAGCAATGCGCGTTACAGCCACATCACGTTGCGCCGTCTCAACTGTTCCCAGATGCCGACAGCTGCTGTGGCGTTCCCTCCCCGGACACGTTTCCGAAAACCCCGCCTCTTGCCATGATACCAAACCCTTCCTTCAAAGTGACTAAACGGGAGAAGAAAGGAAGAGAAACTAGACTGCATCGCAGTAAACAAAACACAGGGGGGAGGGGCGGGCACGTTTGTCGCATGGCAAGCCTGCGCAGGCGTGAGCCCAGAGCATGCCGGGAGTTGTAGTTCTGCCAACACCGGCAGGAAGGCGCACGAGCAATACTGCGGGTAGCTGATTTTTTTTAAACCCTCCCTCACCGAACACATGTCCACAATACAGGTCTACCGATGTGTGCTCTATGCTAGAATTAAACAAAAAATATTAAGTAAGATTTACTTCTAAATGCTGTGCATCAGTTGTTGGAGTAGTGCAGGCGTTATCTGCTGCTGCTGCAAAAAAAAAAATCGTAGTCTCGAAATGTCGAGATTTTATTCCTCTAAAAAGGAAGCGTATTAAATAAACTATCTAGGCCATAACTAAAATACTACAACTGCTAACCAACTACGACAAACATAACAAATCATTCTACATTATATAAATGTCCACACCTGAAGAAGTCTCCACGGCCGAAAACGTTGCGTTTACTTTCCTCTCTTTCCAGCATGGAACAAACCTATTGCTTGTTCCTTTGCAATATAGGAATGTACAAAGACGTGCTAAGTGACTGAAATAATGACTCTCGAAGAACTTTCAAGTCTCCACGAATGAAAAAAAAAAAACATTCAATCACAAACCGTCTTTACACGTGGGCGGGCTACACTTAACCCTTCACAGGTTGTATGCATTTGTCAGGGACAATATAAAAATACTGCTAGTAAGTACAGTACTAATCAATGCGTCCGCATGTTAGGAGCCACAGACATCCACACACTCACCTCCCACTCCGACCCAGCACTGAGGAAGGACAACTCTCGTCACGACCCTCTTATAGCCCACAGGACCGCTGCCTGAGGTTTCACACTCGCAGATTCGAGGAGCGTTCAGCTTCATCAGCACATTCGGCAGAAATTTACATTAGAATAAAATAAACACCCCGTAACACGTCTACGTCATCACACCCTATGTGAAATCTTTTAAACTATACGTAGATACTGTATGTCGTATATAATGAAATTCGTGGTGGGGGGAACTCGAGGCAAAGGCAGCGGTTTACAGTTAAACTCGACTGACATTTGGTTTTGTTAGAAATTAACCCTTTAACCAGTTCAGAGGCTTTTTTTAGGAGTTTAGAGTACATGACCCTGCAAGCCAACGATACAACAGTT